GGCTCAGCATTGCATCTGGCTCTTAGCAAGTGCTCGGGAAGTGTTTGCTGGTAAGTGATGGTCTCCGGTGACCTCCAGTGGCTCTCACCACACCCAGCCTCCCGGTAGCCTCTGGTACTGCTGGCTACTCCTTCCTTTGGAACACTCTCCTCCCTAGGCCTCTGAAACATCCCCTCTCCCAATTTCCCTTCTGTCTCTCTGATACAGCCCTGCCCCATCTACCTTCCTTTAAGCTCCTTCTTCTCTACCCACCATATCACATGGAGCTAAACAAGGCTCAGTCCTGAACCCCCTCTCATCACCCTGAACTTTCTTCACAAGGCAACCATGTGCTGATGATCCCACTTCTAAATTTCAAAACTGGGTCTCACCTCTGGCTCAAGACTACACATCCACCTGATGGCTCAGGATCTCCAGGAAGATGACCCAAGGTCTTAAGTTGCCTGTCCATCTCTCCCTTCCTCATCCCCTGTATTCAATCTGTCTGTAATCTATTACCTGTCAATTTTATCTCTTAAGCATCTCTCCAACACATTCACCTGGTGTTTGCCATCACCCTAGTCCAAGGTTCAATCAGCTCTCATCTCTTGCCTGGACTCCTGCCACAGCCTCTGCATCCTTCTCTCTACATGAACTCTGACCTTTCCAATCCATTCTCCACACTATGGTGAGTAACCCTTAGAATGAGCCCCAGTGATTCTCACCTCCTGATAGCCACACCCTGTGCAATAGCCTCCTCTTGAATGTGGGCTGTACCAAGTGACTTGCTCCTGTGAATATAGGATCTGGCAAAAGTGATGAGACGTCACGTGTGAGATCAGCTTAGAAAGTATGTCCTCTCGTGCTTTCTCAATCTCTTTTCTTCTCTTCTCCCCTCTTCCTTCCCTTCTCTCCTCTCCTCTTTTCTCCTCTTCTCTTCCCCACTCTGGGGGAATCAAACTGCCATGTTGTGAGGAGCCCTATGGAGAAGCCCATGTGTCAGTAAACAGACATCTCCAGCCAAGGCCCAGTGAGAACTGAAGCCTGACTACAGCCAGATGAGTGAGCTTGGACTGAATCGCCCCCAGGTCAAGCCCTGAGATGCTGGCAGCCCCAACTTATAGCTGCATTGCAGCCTTGTGGGAGACCCCGAGGCAGAGGACCCAGTCAAGCCATGCCCAAATTTCTGATCCACAGGACTGTGCAATAATACTGTGAGCTGTTTTAATCCACTAAGCTTTGGACTAATTTATTATTCAGCCACAGATAACTGATACACCTGTCATGCCGTCCTCTGTTTTACTTCAAAACCATCCATTCTTTAGGAATAAAGACTAAAACCCTTAACACTTAAACGCCTTTCTGATCTGGTTTTTGCTGACTTCTGCAACTCATCTAGCACCAGGCTCCCCTGCTTCCAAAGACTCAGACATCTCATCCTCCTGCAGCTTCTTGAACAAGTCCCACTTCTTTGAGACACAGGCCTTTGCTCAGGCCCCACTCTGCCTTCCTGCATCTCTCAGCAAAAGTCTCACCTCCTACGAGGAGCCTTCTCTGACTCCCCTGCTCCACGCTGGGCTTCACCATCAGATGCTCTTATAGGTACCTAGTCCTTGAGTTTACAGGGCTGATCAGCTGACTTCAGGCTGTAATTATACACTCCCATTTGGGGCTGTCTCACTGAGGTCTAGCTCCCTCACTAGACTGGAAGTTCCAGAATAGGAGTCATGTGGCAGGACCTATATCTCATTAAGTTACTCTTGTCTCCCCAGTACCTGGAGCACAGAAAATTCTCAATCAGTGTCTAATAAAACAAGGAGCAGGGCTATGGCTTTGGTACTTGCTGCTCTGCCGTGCAAGAAAGCTTTCCATCTCCGTCTTTCGATCCAGGCATCAGTACTTTCTCTGGAGTCATTTCCAAGAATTTTTGGTGAGATTGGATGGGGCAGAGGCCAGTCACACAGAGCTGTGTGAGCCATAGCAAAAGATCTACATTTGACTCCAAGGGCAATGAGCAATTTCTCTGTGTCAGGCACTGGGCCGGGTGGTGGGAATACAGCGCTGAGCAAAACAGACCCAGCCCTTGTTCTCATGGACTTTACGGTCGGGTGGAAGAGAGGATGACAATCATATCGTCACACTGATGACAATCTGTGATGATGGCAATCGTATAGACGCCAGTAAAACGTGCCATGAGGAAGATGAGCTAATCTGGCAACAAAGAGGTTCCCTTCCATTGATGACCTCAGTCTTTTATCACCCATCACATGGGTTCTCTGTTCAAAGTGCACTCATTACCATGATCAGCTCTTGAATTTCTCATTTCCCACACTTCACTGTTCCCTCACTTTTCATTACTCATCATTACAAATGCTGCGAATAACTCAACTGGCAAATTATGGGCAGGGCACATTTCCTTTGGCCTCTCCATGTATTTACCTGGTATTTTTAAAGAAGCCAAAGACAGAGAAATACGTAAAGTGGGGCGAGACCCAAACAAAGCCTCTACTTAATGATACACAAGAGTCCATCTAGATGTGGACAGTGAATGACTTCCAATAAAATTAATAATCTCAAAAGTCTTAATGGGAAACCTTTTAACTCAGATTTTAGAACTTGGGCCAGCTCAAAAAATACTTCTGTTAAAGGAAGAATGGCTTCTTCCCCCTGTTTTGAAGCTTAAATGCCTTCATAGAAGAAATAGAAAAAAATTTCCCATTCAAAAGTAATGTAAGGAAGTCAAGCCTTTCATTCAATTGAACATGATAACAGAATGCGTATATCAAGTGTTTTGAGCGCCCCATAAAAAGGAGAATAAAAACAGCTCACCTTTGACGAGGTAGTATCATGTCTTGCCTGGACCTCTGCTCCCCTCAAAAACTAAGTAAAAATGAGCAGAAATAAATAAGCTTCAAGTTGCCAACTTTCTGGCAAGTTCTGAAGACCTGCTACCAGCAAAAGCAGAGGTGATGGAAAGGAGAAGGGAAATGATGAAAAGAAAGCAAACTCAAGGGGAACCAAGACATGAAAAGCAACTGATGGCCCAGGTAGGAACGAGAGTTTGGGCGCTCCTTGTTTCTTCTCATCAGCACAGTGCAGATGATTGTCTGGCTCTGATTTTGAACCTGGAGGTGACAAAGTCTCATTGAGACATCAGCAGACCGACAGCAGTTTTCCACAAAGACCTTACTCACCCTTGCCCATGACTGGCCCCACTGCTCTGGGCGGATGGCAGTTTCTGAGAGTGTTATGAGCTCATCCTGGAAGACACCAACACTCTGATTTGTCCTGGAGATGACAGGTCCCATACGATACGTTAGGTTTGGATCTCTGAGGAATTACTGCCGTCTCTCAGGCAGCCCATGGTAGGAAACATCCTGCCAAGAGGGAGCATGTCTGATCGCATCATGCAATTTGGCATAGTAGGAATAATTGACGGAATTGAGGAACTGGCTCTCCTAGGGACTTTGGATTTTCAGGTAGTTTAGGAAATGCCATGTTTTATTTCCCCTTTCCCTACCTCCCAAGTGTGTGATTCAACTCTCCAAAGTAACTCAAGCAAAGACTGCGCTCCTCTTCCTGACTTGTCTCAGCAAAATGTAAATAAATGTCCTTACAGTAGCCAAGACATGGAAACAGCCTAAATGTCCATCAACAGATGACTGGATAAAGAAGATGTGGTATATGTATACAATGGAATACTATTCAGCCACAAAAATGACAACATAACGCCATTTGCAGCAACATGGATGCCCCTGGAGAATGTCATTCTAAGCGAAGTAAGCCAGAAAGAGAAAGAAAAATACCATATGAGATCGCTCATATGTGGAATCTAAAAAAAAGAAGAAGAAGAAGAAGAAAGAAAGAAAGAAAAGAAAAAGACAAATGAACATAAATACAAAACAGAAACAGACTCATAGACATAGAATAAAAACTTGTGGTTGCCAGAGGGGACAGGGTGGGAAGGGACAGACTGGGAGTTCGAAATTTGTAGACACTGATGGGCAAATGTAGAATAGATAAACAAGATTATAATGTATAGCACAGGGAAATATATACAGGATCTTGTGGTAGCTCACGGCAAAAAAAAATGTGACAATGAATACATGTATGTTCATGTATAACTGAAAAATTGTGCTCTACACTGGAAATTGACACCACATTGTAAACTGACTATGATTCAATAAAAAAATTATTTTTAATGTAAATGTCTTGCCAGTTCTCCTGGCTAAATAGAAGTTCTGTACATTTACTTTTATGTTCTTGTCAATCTGACATAAGAAACATTATGAGAATTCTAATTCATTTTTTCATTGTTAGAACGCACCTGACTCTTGAGCCATATCCTTTCTAGGTTTCCACAGTGAGCACACGTGGTAGCTAATTGTGATTCTGTTTTGTCCTGATTCGCATCAGCTGTCTGCGAGGGGCATCCGGATCCAGGTGGTGGGTCACAGAGGTGGTGGACGAGGTCCCAGACCCAGGGAAGAAGATGGCCCTGGGGGAGGATCATGAGAAATCAATCAGGTCGCCTCCCAAATTACCATCATCCTTAGACCAAAATATGTTTTTAGAGTTAGAGGAGAGACTTTTGGCTCAAAGTGAAAGAGGCAGGTTAAGTCAAAAAGGGAATTTTATTTTCAAGCTTCAAGCCTCCTCACCTATACTGCTGGGATGGTTACGTCTCTTTCTTCCTCTCTTTCTCATGTCTGTACGTCAGCTTTATCCCTCCCTCTTCTGTCTCAGCTGGCTGAATATCTGTGTTTCCCGGGCCACAAAGCAGAGCTGGCTTTCCACAGCTCATGGGTTCACCCTTGTTCTGGTCTAGTGGAGGAACCAAGGGAATGGGGGCAGGGGTAAGGACCAGGCGGCCAACCCAGTTGTCAAGTATTCAGTGCAGTGAGGAACTCCAGGGATCAACTCCCTCATTTTACGTCTTCCCTCTTCTCTCCCAGCTTATAGGTTTTGTGACCCCCAAAAGTGAAGCCCCCCATTCTTGCCATAGCCGAAAGGTAAGTTTACAGTCAGGAGATGGTGCTTTGGAGACCAAAAAATTTTTAAACATTCACTTAGAAAAGGAAAATTACACCTCCAAGAATGGGGGGGTGGGCTGACCCAGTGGAGAAAAAGTGGCAGTTTTTGTCTCTCCTTTCTCTTATACCCTCACTTAGAGGTGGCCTCTGATTGACTGATGGCTCTTATCCCTGGAACGTTTAGTCATGTTTGGCCCTTTCGCACACGTCCTTACACATGGTGTACACAGAAAAACCCAGGGTGGGGAACTAAACCACAATATTAACTGTAACGCAATGAACATTGGGTCTCGTCCAGTTCAGGCCTTTCTGCCTCCGGGCAGTCATGGCTGTCGGGTTCTAATGGGTTTCTTGCGGGCACTCATTTAGAAGAAGTAAATCTCTTTATGCTGGAGGCGGGCATAATGTCATCTTTTGGACCATCCTCTCTCTCTCCTACCTATCTGCCCGGTGCCCCCACTTATCTAATTACCTAACAGTTTGTTTTACAACTCCTGTTGTAAAAGATTCTTACGGTCCATATGCATGTGATGACATCAGTGCTTTTTCTCCCTTCTTGGTTTTATTTTCCTCTTTCTTGGCTTCATTTCTTCCTAAAGCAGTTGGGCTTCCTGCCTGTTACAGGGGGAAATGGTTATTCCAATCCCAGATCCAATTCTTCCAATCCCTTTACTCCCATCAGAAAAGAGATGTTCTGGCTCTCAAAGTCTGGGTGTCAATTCAGAGAAAGACGCTGCCCCAGGCAAGTGCCCTGACTAACCGCTGCTGCTCAGGGACTGGGATCCTCTCATGGAGGCCCCGGACTGGGTCAAGGCGGGGTTGAGGCGGGGGACCAGAAGCGACAATCCAGGGCCTCAGGAATGAAGGAACTGCTCCCAACTGGAAGGGAATGTCGTTGCCAGGACAGGATGGGGATGCACAGGTCACTTCAGAATCTTACACAAAGCCCTAGCATTACCAGTAGAGACAGACTAAGAAACAGGCTTTGCCTGGCACAGGAGACTGTGTGTAAAAACAGGCACTCTTTCTGTTACTGAAGGCAGGTTCACGTGCCTGACGCACCATTAGGCCAAACTGAAACACTGGAGTTTGAAGCAGAGAAAGGTTTATTGCAGGGCTGAGCAAGGAGGATGGGGTGGCTCATGCCCAAGAAAACCCCGAATTCCCTGAAGGGTTTCAGCAAAGCATATTTAAAGGCCAGGTAAGTCGGGGAGGGGTCGCAGTGTATGTGATCAGCTCGTGCACAACTCGCTGATTGGGTGATGCTGAGGGAACGGGGAGGGCAACACTACCAACCCTCAGGCACCAGAAGGTCTGGGGGCCATGTGCTCTCAGTCATCAAGTAGTTAATTTCTTCTCTTTGGTGGTGGGTTTTAGCATCTGTGCAAGGATCTGTTTCTGGGCTCTCCATTCTACTCCACCGATCCGTATCTGTCTCTATGCCAGTACTATACTGTTAGATTATTGTAGATTTGTAGCAAGTTTGAAATCAGAAAGTATGAGATTTCTAAGTTTGTTCTTTTTTCTTTTTTTTTTTTTTCAGAACTGTTTTAGCTATTTGGAGTACCTTGAGATCGCATATGAATTTTAGGAAGAATTTTACACATAATACTTTTTAAATTGCAATTGTTGACTTTCCCATTTAGAAAGATGATCTTTCACTCTCATAAAAGGCAGCTTTTCTAAAGAAGATCCTTGGGATTGGTAAAGAATAAATCTAAATATCTCTACATCTCTAAGTTGAAATACATGCACTATATGATGAGATATTGCTTCTCAGTCTTCTCTGTAGCCCCCCTTATCCACGTGTCCGAGAGTGATGCAGCCACATGACCATGCCCTCAGCCCCTTCTTTTCTCCCTGGGTTCCCTCTCATTCAAAGTCATGGTGACCATTACTTTGGATATATGTCCAATAGTCCCAAATGTTAACGTTCAGTTGTGATGTCTTTCTTGAACCACAAAGCCATACATAAACAACCTACTTGTCATCTCCCATTAGCTATACAGTAGGCAGCTCAAATTTATTATATTTACAACAAACATCAAATCTTCTCCTTCCCTGGATCTTCGCTATCAGCAAATGTTACCCTCATTGATCTAGTCACTCCAGCCAGAATCAGGAGTCACCCTAGATTCCTAATTCTCCCACATTTAGCTCATCTCCCATCAAGGTCTGAATCAACTTATGAAATGCACCCCGACCTGCCATTTCTCTCCATCTTCATCACTACCACCCTTGATCAAGCCACGTCACCTCTTGCCAGTATTAGTCACAGAGCAAGTGATGCCAGAAGGAGAAAATGAATTCATCACCTGTTTGATGAAGCTTCAAATTCTGCTCTTCTTTCCCAGGCTGTCTGCTATCATTCAGTTTGCATAGTTCCCATACAGCTGCTCCATGATTTCTGTCTAGAATATATGGCTGTATTCAGTGGGAAAGTCAAGGTTATACGTGCTTACTCCATATTCCCTGGAAGCAATACTCAATTTCAGATTTTACAGAGATGTTCGTGTAAAAACGACCCAAGGGCAAATGGAAAGTGGGAATGTTTGGAGCCCTTTTCACTTTTGGAGAAAACACATTTTTAATTTCTTTTGCATTAATCTAAAAACCTAGGCTTATGGAGCATCAGAAGAATCACACAATTTTTCTTACTTTGAAAACTAAGAACAAGCAAATGCAAAACAGGTCAGTCAGAGGAGGTTTAGAGAAAGCTAAACAGATCCTCAGTACAGACAGAAAAAATTCCAAAAGAATCTCTCCCTTTCTGGTCTAAGAGGGAAAAAAAAATAAGACCCTACAGGTAAGAAAGAGAGGGGTGAATTCCCTAGTATATTTTTGTTTCCCTTTCTGACAAAACCAAGGCCACACCACAGTGTCGTGTGGCAGCCAGGCAGGGACAGCGACAGCCATGAGCAGACGGCACCTAACCCTCAGGAGAGGGGCTCTTCTCTCTTAACCAGAGAAGCTGTGCTTCCAAGAACACAGAGTGAATCCCTGGTGCTTTTTCTCCTTCTCTGTGCTTGTGTCACTTGGCTCTGGATACAGATACAGATGTAAGATGCAAAGCATAGAGCTGGGAAACTGATGCCCACATTTCTCGAAACAGGACTGGAGAGTAGATGACAGAGATCAAAAGAGTGATTCCAAGTTGTGCATGAATAGTTGGGCTCACCTCTGAACTGTGAAGACATGGAGATGACCCTACGTAATTCCACAGGCTTTGAAAACTGGTAGACCGCCTCCATGGTCCCAGGCTGGCCACTTTTGGTGCTCAGGAAAGGCTGGTCTAAACAGCGATGCAAATGCTTTGAAAACTGACCCAACAATAGAAGCATAGCTCCTCTCAGCCCCAGTTACCTCACCTGCAAATTTGTTAGAATTATGCAAAATACTGTATGAAAAACATAGCTTGTCAAATACTCCCTCAGTGCATTTCATTTCCCTTCTCTCTCCTTTCTACTTCAGAAGGGGGAAAGACGGAGCGTTAAGTTGTTATTACCTCTGATCACCTATTCATGCTAAGTAGATTGTAATTTCTTTCGATCTCAGTTGCTCAAAGTAGATCCTTGATCCATATTTGTTGAGTGAATAAACATTTTATAGGAAATTAAAATAAATACAGTGTCAACTAAACATATTTTATTTTCTTTTTATTTGTTTTATATTTAGTCTATTGAGGAAATTTTCCCTTGTAAATATGCCTTTGACGTTCATGTTAAAATTTTGGAGGAAATAATTTGTTTAAAAAAATTATTCTCTGAGAGAAGAGCTTTGAAGATCCAGCCATGGCGCCACCAATACTGGTTCAAGCTGAGATCTGAGCTGACAGAAGGATGGATCCACCCAAGGAAGCTTGGTCAAAAATCCTTCCAACTCTTTTCTCTATTACATTCTTACTCATGGGAGAAAGCAAATAAGAAAGCAAAGGAAAAAATTATACTGAATTCAGATTACATGTGCAGTACATCATGCCATGAGAAGAAATCATGAAACCCTTATTTAAAGATAAAGTGTGTCCTCGTAGGCTGACAAGAGAGACCAGAGCTTGACCAGTTCAGACTCTATCTTAGGGCACAAGGCTCTGCTGACACCTAGTGGCTTCACTGCAAAAGACAGACATGAACATGAGAAATTGAGACCAGGGGAGGCAGAGCCCCACATGGTGGGGTAGAGAGACTCACAGCTCACCTTCTCCCACAAATACGCCAAGAATTACATCTACAAACCCATTGAATTGCACAGAACACCTACTGAACTCTGGCAGAGTGTCTCTCATTTTGAAATACAAGAGGATTCTCACAAAATCCGTTAAGAACAAAAAAGGAAAAAGAAAACAAATCAGTGCAGTACCAGTCCTGAAAGGAGAGTGTGGCATAGGAAGAAAGGCACCCTTACACTGGGACCTCCCCTCCCCAGCTGGGAGGTCAGCGGGACAGAAGCAGAGCTTCTGAGGCTCAGAGGAGAAAGTGAAAGCAGACAGAAGTAGGGGAAACTGACACAGAGGGTCCCTGCGGTCCCCGTCCCTAGATGCAAGGACTGGCTGCTGGAGATGGGAGAGGAGCCCAGGCAGGGGGCAGGGGGCCACCACACAGAGGCAGCCTCAGGGGACTGGAGGGCTGGGAGGGTGGGTGTGGAACAGAACAGCCTGGGACCCCCATAAAAAAAAACAGCACTGCTGGTGTGTGTGAGGGGTGCAACAGAGCCGTGCCAAATGATGTGACCAGTAGAGATTAATATCCAAAATTAATAACAGCTTAAACAACTCAAAGTCAAAAAATGAAGAACCCAATTTAAAAATGGGCATAAGAGGTAAACAGATATTTTTTTCCCACTAAGAAATACAGATGGACAAGAGGCTTAAAAAAAAAAGCTCAACATCACTGATTATCAGAGGATGCAAAAGAAAACCACGACGAGGTATCACCTCACACCTGTCGAAATGGTTGTCGTAAAAAATCTACAAGTAACAAAAGTTGAAGAGGATGCAGAGAAAAGGAAACCCTCATACACTGCTGGTGGGAATGTAAATTGGTGCGGCCACTCTGGAAAACGGTATGGAGATTCCTCAAAAAACTAAAAATGGAACTATCATAGGATCCAGCAGTTTCACTCCTGGGCACATACCCAGAAAAAAAAATGAAATCGCTAATCTGAAAAGATACATGCACCCCGATGTTTATATAGCCAAGACTTGGAATCAACCCAGTTGTCCATCAACAGATGATTGGATTAAGAAAATGTGTATGTATGCACACTCGGTCGGTATGTTAAATTACATGGGAAGCATTGGCAAGTGAGTGGTGATAAACCTTTTTATGTTGTTATCATTAAGGTAACCATTATTAACAGAGATATTCTAAACACAACATTGTAAACTGACTAAAACTCAATAAAATGAAATTTAAAAAAATAAAAGATACAGATATCTAGAAATTATATGAAACTCCTAAAAATTTGCTATGTCCTGCTAAATGTTATCAGTCATAATTCTGTTTATTTTCTAAAATGTTATATGCCACAGAGCAGTAACCAAATTTGTCAACTGCCTTGTAATCAGGTCTTTAACTTTGCCTTTTTAAGTCTTTTGTCATTTATAGATAGTTGTTGCATTCTGATGCTTTTGCAAAACTGTTTCATACAAAAGAACTTATTTACACAACAGAAACACTCATAGACACAGAAAACAAACGTATGATTACCAAAGGGAAAAGGGGGTGGGGGAGAGATCAATTAGGAATTTGGGATTAGCAGATAAAAATTACTATATATAAAATAGGTAAACTATAAGATCACACTTGTATAGCACAGGAAACTATGTTCATATCCTGTAATAAAAGAATAATGGAAAAGAAAAAATATATAGAGAGAGAGAGAGAGAGAGAAACTGCATCAGTTTGCTGTACATCAGAAACTAACAAACATTGTAAATCAACTATACTTCCATTTTTAAAAAATCCCATTTACTATCACATCAAAAAGAATAAAATACCTAGGAATAAATCTAATTAAAGAGGTAAAAGACTCGTACTTGGAGAACTGTAAGACACTAATGAAAGTAGTTGAAGATGACAGAAACAGAAAGATAAATGGTGTTTATGGATTGGAAGGATCAATATTGTTAAGATGACATATCCACAATCTACAAATTCAATACAGTCCCTAACAAAATACCAATGGCATTATACACAGAACTAGAATAAATAACTTTAAAATTTGTATGGAAGCATAAAAGTCCCTGAATGGCCAAAACAATCTTGACAGAGAAGAACTATTTGGAGGTACAATGCTACTTGATTTCAAACTATACTACAAAACTAGGGTGATCAAAATGGTATGGTACTGACACAATAACAGATACACAGATCAATGAAACATAACAGACAGCCCAGAAGTGCTCCCACACTTATATGGCCAACTAATCCAGACAAAGAAGGCAAGAATATACAATGGGGAAAAGTTTTGGGAAAAGTGAACAACTACATGCAAAAGAATCAAAGTGGACTATTGTAGCAGGGAGGGTATAGCTCAGTGGGAAGGTGTGAGCTTAGCATGCACCAGGTCCTGGGTTCAATCCCCAGCACCTCCGTAAAAATAAATAAATAAGTAAACCTAATTACCTCCCCCCTACAAAAAAAAGTGGACCATTGTCTCACATTACACACAAAAATAAATTCAAAATGGGTCAAAGACTTAAATGCAAGAAGTAAAACCACAAAACATCTAGAAGAATACATAGGCAATAATGCCTTTAATATCGGTCTTAGTAATACAGTTTTTGGATATGTCTCCTCAGGCAAGGAAACAAAAGTAAAAATTAACAAAAGGGACTAGATCCAACTAAAAAGCTTTTGCACAGTGAAGAAAACTATGAACGAAAAGAAAAAAATCTGCTGAATAGGAGAAGACATTTGCTAATGAAGTATCCAATAAAGGGTTAATATCCAAAATATACAAAGAACTCATACAAGTCAACATTGAAAAACAAACAACCTGACTAAAGAATGGGCAGAGGATCTGAATAGACATTTTTCCAGAGAAGACATCCAGATGGCCAAGAGGCACATGAAAAGCTGCTCAGCATCACTAACCATCAGGGAAATGCCAAGTAAAACCACAATATGGCACCACCACACACCTGTTACAATGACTATTATTGAAAAGACAAGAGATAGCAAGTGATAGTGAGTATGCAGAGAAAAGAGAAAACGCTTGTACTGTTGGTGAGAATGTAAATTGGTACATCCACCATGGAAAACAATATAATGGTTCCTCAGAAAATAAAAAATATAACTACCATGTGATCCACCAATCCCACTTCTGGGTATATATCCAAAGAAAATAAAATCAATATCTCATAGAGATATCTGCACCTTCATGTTTATTGTAGCATTATTTACAACAGCCAAGACATGGAAACAACTTGTGTCATCAACAGACAAATGGATAAAGGAAATGTAGTATATACACCCAGTGGAATATTACTCAGCCGTGAAAAGAAGGAAATCTTGCCATTTTCAACAACATGGATGAAACTTGAGGACATTATGCTAAGTGATATAAGTTAAACAGAATTAGACAAATACTGTATGATCTCACTTGTATGTGGAATCTTAAAAAAAAAAAGAAAACTCATAGACGTAAAATGTAGATTGATGGTTGCTAGGGGAAGGAAGATGGGGGAAAGGAATGAGTGTGGTAAAGGGCACAACATTTCAGTGATAAGATAGAAAAGTTCTGAGATCTAATGTACAAAATGGTGACAGAATACTGTACTATATACTTGAAAGTTGCTGAGAGTAGATCTTAAATGTTCTCACCACATGATAAATAAAATAAAATAAAATAAAATAAAATAATAAAATAAAGTAAAATAAAATAAAATTTAACTATGTAAAGTGATGGGTATTGTGAATGGAAAATGTTGCCTCCCATATCAGTAAACCAAGGGTGCAGCCATCAGGCCACTACAGCTGCCTCTGACCGTGAACCCTGAAGGAACTCAGGATGGAGACAAATGGACTGCCTGCTGCCAAGCCCTTAGCCACTGCAGCCACCCCTAAAGGATGCACCCTAAGGGGAATCAGGATGGGAAAGAATAAGATACTGGCCCTAGATAGCTAAGATGCACGTCAAAGCAAGGATTTCAGTGAGCCCAGACTTTTGCATCTTCCCATATTTAGAAAAGTGCTACATTTATTAACGAGATATTTAGCTTTCTTTAATTATGATAACCTTTGGAGGTACCAACTACCTGGTATTTGTTGCAAAACCCCCTATATATCCTGGCTCCTCCCTTACTTCTTCAGAGCAGTTCCCTCAGAGCTATCTGAGAGGCTGCCTGTCTGGCTTGAAGTCTTAAAAAAAAAAAACACTGAATAAAACATAATTCTTAACTTCTAGGCTATGCATTTAGGTAGGTAACTCAACTACCTACATGAAATTCAAATTCTTAGAAAGGAAGAAAATCTAATTCATAAATTATGCAATATATTGTCTACAATGGCTGGCATTCAATCATTCATTACTAGAAATATAAAATTAATGTGATCCAAAATCAAGGGGAAGGTGCCAATGAAAAATACTTGAGATGACCCAGACACTGCAGCTTCTCTGGACCCACTTCTGTTACCCCTGTTTGCTTCTACACCTGTCCTAGATGCCTTAGCGGGCCCTGAAAAGTGAGATACAAAATATGACCAATGAAGAGGTGCATTACACTCCGAAAGAATACATGGTATTTTCCAATTTATACAAACAAAATTCTGGGGAGTATGTGTGAGAATGAACATTAAGGTTATGAAATAATAGAAAGAATACAAAGTTGGATCAGGCTAAATTACTGATATGAGCCTACTAAAGAGATTCTGAATTCAATGCTACAGCTCAAAGGAATAGAAAGGGGGTCTGGCAGTTTGACTGGTTGACTGAAGCAGGAACCAACTGCCTACCAGATGAAGCTGAAACATCAGACAGCCTCCATATACTACAGAGGAAAGGGTCCAAAGTCTTTAGAGAGATTAGAATTTTAGAGTGGATTTATCATGGTAGACCTGCTCATTCATCTCAGAAGGGTCCAGAGGACCCGCCTTTCATGACAACTGCAAGAAATAAATTTGTGCGGGAAGCCCCCAGATCGTTGAAGAGCATCAAAGATTTCTCTGTAGGTCACAAGTCACAGTGGGAATTGCTGCCACTGAACTGGAAACCTACATGCAATGGGGAAGAATTGGATCCCAGAATGGCAGGGAACAAACAGGGGCACCTAACCATCAAAGGTGAGGTGAGCATGGGCACCACGATGGACAGAAGAGTCAAAGCACTGGCAGGTTGATCGTGGTCACTATTGTCTGAATTTTTGTGTCCCCTCAAATTTTTTTAACACCTTTATTGGGGTATGGTTCCCGTACAGCAAACTACACATATTTCAAATGTACAATTTGATGAATTTGATAGATGTCTACATCCATGAACTCTCAAACTTCTTATGCTGAAACCTAACCCCACGGTGATGGTATTGGGAGGTGGGGCCTTTGGGAGGTAATTAAGTCATGAGGGCAGAGCACTCATGAATGGGATTAATGCCTTTATAAAGAGTCTACAGGGAGCTCCCTTGCCTCTGCTGCCATATGAGGGTACAGAGAGAAGCTGGCACTCTACTATCGACAAGAGGGCCTTCTCTGGAACTCAACATGCTGACACCTTGATCTTGGATTTCCAGCCCCCAAAACTGGAAAATAAATTTCTATTGTTTACAAGCCATTCAGTATGTAGTATCTTTTTATAGCAGCCCTCATGGACAAAGATGATGGCATTCCTTGAAGTAAAATAGATGGACGATCTTCTAAAGCTTTTACTTGATCTGTATAAGCAAAAGGGCGCTAGATCAAGTGAACAGAAGTCTAACTGGAATTTAAAAACAAAAACAGAGTTATGGCCCCTCAACCAATTCCCAGACTGAGCCAGTTTACAAAGTATGTAACCCCTTGAATGAAGGGGAAGCTGGGTTCCCTTGAGGAAGGACCATGCTACATCTTCGAAACATACTGTTAATCTCTCTCCATAAAGGTACCTATTGGTCTTTTATCCGAGTGACAATGTCTCTGTGGTTGAACAGTCAGAGTAGGGGCTTACGGGGTTCAGATGATCAATAAGATTTTAGCTCATCTTCATCTCACACTGGGTCATCTGGGTCCCCAGACCCATCCTGTGGCTCTTTCCCCAGTTCTGGAATGAATCATTGGGAACAGCAACTGGCAGGATTCCTCTGATTCTCAGACCTGTGGAGTGAGGATCATTATGGTTGGAAAGACCAAGCAGAAACCACTAAAACTGCCTCTACCCAGAAAAATAAAAAACCAAAAGTAATGACACATATGCCACCAACATAGCCAGAAAAGATGCAGGAGTTGTGGCGTTCACCACATCCCCATTCAGCTCACCTGTCTGGCCTGTGAAGAAAACAGATCTTGGAGAATGATAGTGGATTATGTTAAGCTTAACCAGGCAACGACTCCAAAGCTGACGTGGTACCATTGCCTGAACAAATGAACACATTTTCTTATATCTGGTATACAACTATTGACGTGGCAAATGCTTTTTTCTCCATACCTGTTACTAAAGACCATCAAAGCAGTTTGCTTTCAGCTAGCAAGGCCAAAAATGCACCTTCAGGCTCCTACCTCAAGGGTATATCAGCTCTCTAGCCCTATGTCATAATTTAGTTTATAGGGATCTTGATCACCTTTCTCTTCTTAAGACGTCATGCTGGTCTGATATTGATGACATTATGTTGATTTGATATATTGAGCAAAAAGTAGCAACTCCTCTCGACTTATTAAGTGAGAGGTTTGCTTGTCAGAGGGTGAGAAATAAATCTGATAAAAATTCAGGGAGCATTCTACCTCAGTGAAATTCTACCCCAGTGATGTTGAGCATTTCATGCTATCCCTTCTAAGGTGCAGGATAAATTGTCACATCTGGCCCTTCCTGTATTCAGAAACAAGGCACATTGCCTCATGGGCCTCTGGACTCACTCGCATGTGCTGTTCCAGCCCCTTCACTAAGTGATCCAAAAACCTGTGAGTTTTGAGAGGCCCAGAACAAGAGAAGGTTCTGCAACACACCCAGGCTGTTGTTCAAGCTGCACTGCCAGTTGGACCATATCCAGCAGTTCCAACGGTGCTTGAAGTACCCGTGGCAGATAAAGAAGCTATTTGAAGACTTTGGCAAGTCCCCTCTAAGTGGATTGCAGCACAGACCTTTAGGGTTTTAGAGCAAAGCCCTGTCACCCTCTGTGGATAACTGCTCTCATTTTGAGATAGAGCTCCGTTTGCCATTGGGCCTTAGAGGGACTGAACACTTAATCAGAGCCACCAGGTTACCATGAGACCTGAGCTGCCCATCATGAACTGGGTGTTACCTGGTCAGGGACTTGGAAGGAACATGACTGGGAAATTGGTGACAAGGAAGTCTAGAGATACAGTATGTAGGTAGACGTCTCTGAATGAGAGAAAAATGTGAAGAAATTAGAGCCCCATGTGAATGCGCACCAAACAGTGACCTCTGCAGAGGGGGATTTTGATAATTAAGGGGCTGAATGATCCATTCTGTGGACACCAGTCAGTCTTTTACTCCAGCCACTCCTGTCATTGCCCAATGAGCTTATGAACAAATGGCCGTGGTGACAGCCATGGAGGTTATACGCTTACTTGCTCAACAACATGGACTTCCACTCACCAAATCCAACCCGGGCTACAGCCATTTATGGATGCTCAACCTGCCAGCAGCAGAGACCAACACTGAGTCTCCTGTATGGCACCATTCCCTGGGGTGATCAGCCAACTATCTGGTGGCAGGTTGATTACATTGGACTGCTTCTATCATGAGAGAGAAACTTACCTTGAAACAGACACTTATTCTGAATAAAGGTTTGCCTGCATGCAAATCTTCTTGCAGACTGTCATACCCCAACACCATGGTATTTCATAAGCCTTGCTTTTTTTTAATTAAAATATAGTCAGTGTACAATGTTGTGTCAATTTCTGGTGCACAGCACAATGTTTCAGTCATATACGTACATATATATATTTCTTTTCATATTCTTTTTCATTTTAAGTTACTACAAGATATTGAATGTAGTTCCCAGTGCTATACAGTATAAATTTGCTTTTATTTGTAACTAACTTTTAAACCAGGCACTCCCATGCTCTACTCACCTCCGGCCCAAGCACACTTTTGATCACACTATACCTTGCCTAACCTGTTGGATTTTTCCATAGATCAAAGAAGCGAAAATGAAGAATAAGTTATTAATAGGTGACCAGATCCCTTTCAGTAATCTCATGAACAAAATGTGTGAACAAGACAGCATCGAAAAGAAAGTTCACAAGAAATTGACAAGGCTGCATGCAGCAGGGGATGGTGACAACTCTGACCTCCGACCTTAGTGATTAACTAAGATTACTTCCCCTATTCCCCATGAAAAACTTTCATGGCCAAGCAGAATCTTCAGTGTTGGTTTGGGGGGGACACAATTCTGCCTTCTCCCCAGATAGTCGGCATTTTGATTAAAGGCAACTTTCTACCAACAATTGCCTCTCGGATACTGATTTTCAAGTGGCACACAGCCAGATCTGAGTTCAATAACATTGACACTTTGATGTTGGTGAGATATTCTCTTCTGGTATTTATGAGATCACTAAAGGGAGATGTTATTGAAAGATTGTTTAAATGACCTGTGAGCATCACAGAATTCCATATATTTTTCCAAAAAGAACGTGTTTAGGTAAAGTCCTCTGTGTCAGGTCACATTTAGGCGTGATGAATCATTTGAAGGACTCATAGGACCCAAAAGTTGTCCTATTCCACAATTGCTATTTATCACAGTGAAAGGATACAGAAGAAAAACAGCAACGGGAAAAGGCACGTAGACAAAATTCTGGAGGAATCCAAGCACTGCTTCCAAGTGAAGCTGACATCTGATGGAGGGGGGCGGATTAATTCCTCCTGCAGTGATGTGTGACAATGCAGAGTGATGCCAGCTAGGACAGCTCATCAGAGACTCAGTGGCCAAGGTTAAGGGCTGGTCATGTAGGTACCCTTTGCCTACCATGTACCAAAATTCCAGATTCCCAGCAGGAAAGCAGGTATTCAGCACTAAACCACATTGTTTGTATGGTTCAGGCACAGTGAGCCAGCCACCCATGTCAGTTAGGGTTGGTGAGAACTAATATAAAATCCATGTTCTCAGATACCAGCCAAGGGCCCCCTTTCAGGCAAACCTTCCTAAGAATGATGTCTCAGGCCTGCTGTGTTAACTCTTTTCAGCACAAGCCATCCCCTTGGTCTTGGCCAAACTGTCTTTATAGCAAAACGGTTATCAGTAGTGAGACAGGAAGGGGGCAGGGCACAGCCATTCAAGGAATGATACAGCAATTAACATCAAGCTGGTGGAATATTCAACCCCCAGTTGGCCTCGAGGCTCAAGATGGTGGGAGATTTGACGTCTAGTAGACCTTGAGCTTCGTTATACACCCATTGTAATATATTAGCATGGTGAATAACGTGCCCACAGGCACCATGCCAGTCCCAAGGCTAGCCGCAAAAGGTCAGAGTGGGAAATGGCCAACTTCCTGGGAGTCCTAGCCCCTTCCCCAGGCTAGTTAGACTGGTCCTTCCACTTATTAGCATATGAAGCCACCAAGCCCATAAAAACTGGCAACACAGTGCCTAGTGCTGCCCCTCTCTCTCTCTCCCTCTTCAGAGACAGCCTGCACTCTCTATGGAATGTGTACCTACTTTTAATCTGAGCAGCCAACTC